CCCCTGCGGCAGGGCCGGAGGGGCTCGCCGGTGCTTTGGGGCTCCCTGCTCTGCGTTTCGGTGCCTTGCTCTGGGGCTGAGGACTCAGCCCCAGCGCCCACCTGCGCTCGGGCATTGCCCCGCTGCACTGTCACCCCTGCAGGGCGCTGCAGTTGGGCGGCCCGGGCGGCCCTCCCCACGTGAAGCTGACGGTGGAGTGGGACATCAGCACCAAGGAGCGGTGAGTCCCGGGTGCTCGACACCTACCTACACTGGGGCCCACCTGTGCCCAGGGCAGCCTCCCTGAGCGCCCCCGTTGCCCCGGCGCCGCCCCGCAGCCTCTTCGGCAGCATCCAGGAGGAGGTGGTGCAGGACGCGGAGAGCGTGCGGCTGCAGCAGCAGGCGCACCAGCAGCAGCACAGCTGCACGCTGGACGAGTGCTTCCAGCTCTACACCAAGGAGGAGCAGGTACGGGCTGCTGGCCACCTGTTGGGACGTCCCGGCCGGGGACATGTCCGCCATGGGCAGGCGGAGCTGGCGCTCGCCCGGCTGAGCGGGGGCTGAGGCGTCCGGCGGGTACAGCGGGCTCAGGGTGCCGGGTTCGGAGGCGAACGTGGTTCTGGCTCAGCACGGGGCACCGCGTTCACGGCGCCTGGTCTGCCCAGCTGGCACCAGACGACGCGTGGCGCTGCCCGCACTGCAAGGTGCTGCAGCAGGGCACGGTGAAGCTGAGCCTCTGGACCTTGCCCGACATCCTCATCATCCACCTCAAGCGCTTCCGCCAGGTGGCTGAGCGCCGGCACAAACTCACCACGCTGGTGCGCTTCCCTCTGCGGGGTCTCGACATGGCCCCCCACGTGGCCCAAAGAGGCCAGGCGCCCGGCAAGCAAGTGCTGGGACACTGGGCGCCCTGGAAGGCCCCGCTCTACCTGCCCGAGAGCTGCCAGCTTGACTACCTCTACGACCTGTACGCCGTCTGCAACCACCACGGCAGCATGCAGGGGGGGCACTACACGGGTGAGCACACGGCACGCCGTCCCCATGGGCCCTGGTGCCCTAGGGGGTGGGAGATGTGCCATGGCGCCCCGGGTGGGCTTGGGTGAGGGGGTTCCGGGGGGCCCGACGTGGCTTTGGGGCACGCGGCAGGGAGATGCATGTAGGTTGCAGCATGCCGTGTGGGACGTGATGCAATGCTCGAGTTCAGCGCGACGCTGGCGGGTGCTCCTGCCCGTGCCCGGTGAGGCCCCGGGGCCTGTCTGTGGGGGCCAGAGCACGGCTGGCCACGACCACCCTCACCTGCGCTGCCCCCAGCCTCCTGCTGCAACTCTCTGGACGGGCGCTGGTACAGCTACGATGACAGCACGGTGGAGGGGGTGCAAGAGGACGAGGTGAGCACCCGCAGCGCCTACATCCTCTTCTACCAGCGCAGGAACGCCATCCCCAGCTGGTCGGCCAGCAGCTCCATGAGAGGTGAGCGGGGCCTGCGGCACGTGGCCTCTGGCGAGTGACTTGGTACCCTGAGGCTGCCAGGGGCAGCCACCTGCACGTGCAGAACACGGCCAAATGCCCACGTGCTTGCGCACACGTCATGCACAGGGTCACGCGTGTGTGCACACCTGGAGTACAGCCCCATGCACACTTACGTGCACACACACGTGTGCGTTATGGGTGTGCATGCAAGCAGAGTCACGGCACCAGGGAATGCACGCGTGCACATGCACACGCATTCTAGTGCATGCACCCTTGTGCACAGTCACACAGTGCAGCTGCATGCATGCATGAACGCGCAAGGACGCATGCAGCCATGTGCACACTCATGCATGGGCGTGCACCCCCGTACTGGGGGCACCCACACGTGCAGCCTCTTCCTCCCCACAGGCTCCACCAGCTCCTCCCTGTCTGATCACTGGGTGTCGCGGCTCAGCACCCAGCGGGAGAGCACGGGCTCGCGGGGCTTTGCCACGTGCCCCTCGCTGCCCCGCACCCCCAGCTCGCCCAGCTTCCCCGACGCAGGCAGCAGACTGGAGAAGGGTGAGCAGCAGGGGCGAGGAGGGGGTCAGTGAACAGGAGCACCCTTTTCAGGGGGGCGTCT